GTGATGACGTTTGCATCGAGCAGGTAAGTTTCTCGATCCGGGGAAGGGTGAAAATATGCAGCGTGATGGCGTGATGGCCGCTATCCTCATCATGCTCCCCCCTCGTCGCCACCTCTCCCGCTTCCCTCCTCTCTCCTTCCCTCCCCTCTCCCCCCTCCCTCTCCTCTTGCTGCGCAACGCTTCGGGTTGCGCATAGACAGCCCCCCACAGGTAGTGGCCCCGGCTGGCCTCCACGGGCCTCTCGAGTGTCCGGGGGCGGCCTCAACGTCCCCACCCTGGGGCGCGGAGCGCCCCAGGGTCGGCGCAAGAGACGACGCCCGGGTGCTGAGGCCGTCCCAGGCTACTCGGCGGACCTGTTGAGGCCCGCCGGATCTGCCTGGGGGTGCTGTCTGTGCGAAGCACGAAACCTGACCGTCCCCCCCCTCCTCCCCCGCTCCTCATCTCCCTCCTCGTCCCCTCCTCCCTCCCCTCCCTCCCCCTCCCTTCTCGCCTTCCTTCTCCTTCGCAGCCGTTGTGGCTCAGGGCCGCTCCAGAGGCTCTCGCTTTCGGACGTCTGTCCTTCGCCCTCCCCCCTTTTCTGCGGGGGCTTTCGAGCTAGCGGGCTCTGTGGTTTTCGGGACCAGTAATTCAGACGGCAGGATGCTGCACGATAATCTCGTCAGCTCGATTTGAAAGTAATGCTTATGTCTTCTCCGTGTGATTGTGGAGGCTGTCCTCCTGTCTCCTCCCCTTCTCCTCTTCCTCCTCCTCTTCCTCCTCCTCCTCCTCCTCCTCCTCCTCCTCCTCCTCCTCCTCCCCCTTCTCCGTGCCTCCTCCTTCTGCCCCTGCTCTTCTTCCTCCCTCCTCCTACATGCTTTTTCCTCATCGACAACTCATCCTTGTCGCGCCCCGAGGCGTGTCGGTAGGGCGTGCTGGACGTTTCGCTTGGGACGCCGTCACCATTCATGATCCTGAAGCTTGAAATGAAACAGCTTCACGGATGGAAGGTGGGCTGTTTTTAGAATGTGGCTCTCGCCTCAGCGCCGCGTGCGTTCGTCGTAAAAGCTTGCAGGCGTTTGACGCATGGAGGGTGGGCCGTCTTAAAAGGTGGCTCTCGCCCTACTGCTGCGCACATTCGTTCTACGTGCTTGCAGAAGTGTCACAGATGGAGGACGGGTCGTTTTCAAAGTGTGGCTCTCGCCATATTGCCGCGCACATTCGCTTCACGTGTTCACAAGAGCTTCACGGATGGAGGGCTGTTCTTTTCAAAACGTGTTTCTCGCCCTGCGCCGCGCACATTCGTCTTACATGTTCGCTCGAGTTTCACGGACGGAGAGTGGCTCGTTTTCAACATGTGGTTCTCGCTTTAGCGCCGCGCACATGCGTTCTAGAGTTTTTCAACATGTCCAAATATTCTTATGGGCTACGTCCCAGAATTGGTGTGATGGTACGATGTAGGATTCAGGGTGCACCAGCCATGTTGATTCGCGCTGTTGAAGTCCTTGGAGTGTCTGGCACGATTCAGGACCGTCTGGATGCAACATTGACATTCGTTCGCGGCGTTGGTGTCCCAGGAATGGTGCTTTGGTACGGTCCAGGATTTTCACACGGTTGTCTTTCAGTGAAAATGAATTCTTGTAGGGACCTATGAAGAGGGAATTTGGAGGGAGGGTTGAGTGCAACATCGTTGATGAGACTTGGGTTTGCGCTGGTCCTTCTCCTCCTCCTTCTCCTCCCCCGCATCCCCCGCCCCCCTCCGAGGCGCGCGAGTGTATTTTCCTTGCGGCTGCCGCCGCCCCAACCAGCCCGAACACGTTCGCCGACAGCCTGGTCACGAAACCTTTGGTGGGAACAGCCCGCGGGCCCCCGGCGTGGCGCCGCCGCGCACAGGCGGGAGCAGCGCGAACCCTGGCTCTGCCGCGAGCTGCTTCGCCTTGGTATCGCTCGGACGTGTGCATGTTTCCCAACCATTATGTGGTGATGGGTCCTCGTTTTGAAGACGCAGCGCCGTGCGTCCTTTCACCACCTCCCGCCCTCCTCCTCCTCCTCCTCCTCCTCCTCCTCCTCCTCCTCCTCCTCCCTCCCCCCTCCTCCCCCTCCAGCCGCCGTCCTGGCTCAGGGCTTTGGGTGCCATTCCCAGGGAACTGCGAGCCCTGACGCGGACATCGGCAACGCGCCAGCCTCCCCCGCCGCCATATCGGGGGCAGCAAAGAGGGGGGTGATGACTAGGGGGGGCGGATATCATGGCGGGGGCCATGATATTCCCCCAGATTTCATGGCGCCTCTTCTTATTTCATTACGTCCCCGCCCCCCCTCCTGGGCCGCGCACGTGCCGCCGGCCATGATTTGCACCCCCCCCTCTTGGACGCCCCCCTTTTGGCCGCTCCCGACCATAGGGAAGCCAACCGTGCACGAGCGCGCGTGGGAAGCCCCAGCGGGCCCCCGCCGCCACGGCCCTCGGCCGCAGGTCTCGCAGGAGTCCCGAGCCTGCCTGGCATCGACGCGCCTGCCTCGCCAGGAG